GGTTTAGGGGTTTGGGGGTTTAGGCGTTTAGGGGCTTAGGGTTTGTGTAAGGATCACCACAGCAAAGCAGCTATTGAGGTCCTATGTCACGGGGTGCTTGTGCAAAAGCGGCTGCCACAAGCAGGGTCTCATCGTGGAGTTCAGTGCCACCACCAAAGCCCCCAAAACTCCCAAATTCATCCAAGCAAATTTAAGACCACTGACTAAAGCTCTAAAGTCTAAAGAGCACGAAGCCGTAAGCCCAAACCCGAACCCTACCAGAGATTTGCGAGTTTTTTAAAACAAAAGGATTCTGATCTCGCTGGGGCCTTGGGCCTGGGTTCAGGGCTTAGGCGGTTTTGGTTTAGGCTTGAGGCTTTAGCGCTTGGGGTTTATAGAGTTTAGGGTTTAGGGTGTAGAGGTTAAGGATTTCAGCTTAGAGTCTAGGGTTTAGGGTTTAGGTTCAGGGTGTCGGGTTGAATCAGGAGCCCACTAGGTTCTCATTTCTTACTCTGATAAAACCGTAGCGGGGCCCATCGGAATCCTGACCTGGCTGCTCCCAACGGCCAATGTACAGTACCTGCAAAATCCCTGGATCGCAGAAACCGCAAACTCCCTAAACCCTAAACCCTATACAAGAACCATAACATGTCATGGAGGCCCCAATCGCAGAACGCTCAAACTCCGTTCATGACCACGTCTCGAGATATTTCAGCCCCCCGAAAGCCGTAGACCCAGGAATGCTATAAGTTCTAGGCCTCAAAGCCCCGTAGCCCCGAACCCCTCAACCGTCAATCCGAAACGCCCAACCTTCAAACACTCAACTTCTAACCCCGAGACCCTGAAGCCCTCCCTAAATCCTAAACACTAATAGAACTACGGTTGATGGTATAAATCCTGCATTACCCATAACAAGGAATATACCATAATTTCCGTAGTTTAGGGTCCTTGAGGTAATGCAGGATTTATATCATCAACAGTAGCACTAATATAGGGGCCCTAATAATTAGAATAGGGTTTGGGGGCCCATTGTACTATAGTTACAGTAAGGAATCCCCAAATAACTATTTAGGACCCAAATATATTATGCTATACTTATAATAAGGAACCCCCAAAGCCCCAAACCCTAAACCCTAAAACTTTAAACTCGGAGACGCTGAAGCCCCCGGAGCCATCGCCAGGCCAGGGGCCAGGACCCTTGCGGCCCACCCCTGCGAGGGGTGCTGCGAGCGGCAGCCTCCCGGGCTGCAGAAGCTCTTACGTAACGGTTTAGGGTTTAGGGTCTAGGGTCTACGGTTCAGGGTTTAGGGTCTAGGGTTTAGGGTCTAGGGTTTAGGGTTTGGGGAGAAGTAGCACTGTCCCCTCGGAACCCTAAACCCGAAACCGTATCCCCTTGTAGCCCCACGACAAGTGTTTCAGTGTATCTACGCCTCCCCCCAATATCTATTCGGACTAATAAGGCCCTAAACAGTATACCCTGAACCCTAAGCCCTAAACCCTAAATCCCTAAATCCTTAACCACTCTTTATCATCTGATTTTTGGCCCTAGTTCATTCATTGGAAAATGGCGGTTTCGGTGTTTTTCTCGCCCGATTCCAACGAAGGATTTGCCACATTCCAACGAAGGGCTCGGATACCCTAAACCCTAAACCCTAAACCCTAAGCCCCCGGCCTTCGTTGGAAAATGGCGCTTTCGGCGGCAGGCGGGCAATGCAATTTTCCAACGAAAGGCCCAGATTCATTGGAATATGGCGATTTGGAAGTCCTCACGAACTCGCCATATTCCAACGAATGCTCGGCCTTCGTTGAAAATGGCACTTTCGGCGGCGGGTGGGCAAATCGCCATATTCCAACGAAGGCATGGCCTTCGTTGGAAAACTTCGCTTTCGGGCAACTACATTTTCCAACGAAGGGTCCGGCCTTGGTTGGAGGATTTGCGTTTTGTCAGGGTTTAAGGTTCAGGGCCCAGGGTTCAGGGCCTAGGGTTCAGAGATTAGGGCCTAGGGTTTAGGGTCTAGGGGTCGTTGAATCGTGAGATTTAAGACATAGGTTTGAGAGGTTACGATCTAAGCTACAGGATTAATAAGAAGATGGTTTCTCAATGTTGAGGGTTCCTGGGTGGGTGGGTATCGTTCTAGGATCAAAGCGGCGAGCTCGAGACTGCTCGACCCGGAGCTGCTAAACCCTAAACCCTAAACCCTAAACCCTAAACCCTATATGCCCCAAACCCTATACCCCTAACTCCAAAACCCCCGAACCCAAAACTCATATTCGGGGCTTAGGGTTCAGGGCCTGGGAGGGCTGCTAAACCCTATGCCCCAAACCCGAAACCCCAAACCCTAAACCCCTAATCCCAAAACTCATAGTCGGGCTTAGGGTTCAGGGCCTGGGAGGATTTTGGGGTGTAGGCTTCAGGGACCCAGCGACTGCGGAACCCAGAGACTCCAATACCCTTTAATTAAGAAATATACCTTAAATTATAGTAGGATCCCTAATAAGATTTAAGGTATATTCCTTAATTAAGGGGTATTGGAGTCTCTGGGAAGTAAGTAGGGTGGTTTGCGTCGGGATAGGGGTTTTAGGGTTTAGGGTTTAGGGTTTAGGGGTTTTCGGGTAATTATAGGGACTAGGGTTTTAGGGTTTTAGGGCTTTTAGGGTAATTATAGGGTTCAGGGTTTTAGGGTTTAAGGTTTTAGGGTTTTAAGGTTTAGGAGTATAGGGTTTAAGGTTTTAGGGCGTAGGGGTTTTAGGGTATAGGGTTTAGGGTTTTAGGGTTCAGGAGTATAGGGTTTAGGGTTTTAGGGTTTTAGGGTTTAGGGTTTTAGGGTTTAGGGCCTAGGGGTTTTAGGGTTTTAGGATTTAGGGCCCAGAAGTGTTAGGGTTTTAGGGTTTTGGGTTTTAGGGTTTACAGTAGGGCTTAGGGGTTGTATTGTGTAGGGTTTACGGTTTTAGGGGCTTAGGGGTTTCAGATTTAGGGTTTAGGATTTTAGGGTTCAGGGTTTTAGGATAATTATAGGGTTTAGGGTTTTAGGGTTTAGGGTTTAGTGGCGTCGCCTTACTTGTCTCCTTGTTTGCAACCCCCCTTGGTCCTTCACGTATTGCGGTTTCAGACCCCTAAACCCTAAACCCTTTATAAGATTTGTGAAACGATATAGTCAACACGTTTCCGAAAAGCTTATAGAGCCGTGTGCAAAGATATGTACACAGATAGAAGCCCGAAGCAGTAAAGCCCAAACCCTAAACCCTAAACCCTAAACCCTAAACCCTAAACCCTAAACCCTAAACCCTAAACCCTAACAAAACCCTGAAACACCATGAATTCCCACGAAGCTTTCGCGAGCGCTCGGCTTCTGGCCCCAGGTCCGTCGGGCCTCTCTGGAGCAAGCCGCAAAAGGCACAGGGTTTAGGTTTTGGGGGTTGAGGGTTTAGGGTTTAGGGTTTAGGGTTTAGGGTTTAGGGTTTAGGTTTAGGTTTTGGGGGTTGAGGGTTTAAGGGTTGAGGGATTAGGGGTTTAGGGGTTTAGGACTTTCGGGGTTCATGAGTTTTGGGGTTTAGGGGGTTAGTGGTAGAGTAGGCAACCCACGGTATTGGCATCTACTCATAGCAACATCTGCTGGTAACAAAAACTGCAGTAGTAGTGGTAGATAATCGTCGCGGTAGTACCAAGATTTGCACCAGTGCGACTAGCATTGGTAACGCTACTTAGAATTTTAATCGTGGCAATAATGCCATTGCTAGGAAGACGATTATTTTTTTATCAGTGGCAACAAATATAGCAAGTAGCAAGAACACTCGTAGCCACACAGGGTGGTCGTCGTCGTCGTCGTCGTGCCGTCGTCGTCATCGTCATCGTCGTCGTCGTCGTCGTTGTCGTCGTCGAATTCGGAGTAGTGGTGGTAGTAGCAGTCGCGGTGGTAGTAGTAGTAGTAGTAGTAGTAGTAGTAGTAGTAGCAGTACGTAGTAGTACCAGCCGCAGCGGCGGTGTCGTCGTCGTCGTCGTCGTCGTCGTCGTCGTCGTCGTCGTCAGAATAATAGTAGCAGCTAGTTGTTGTGATCGCGACAGCCAAAGTCTCTGAACGTCTGTTCAAAATTTCCGCCCGAAGTGCGGGGAGCTTCCCCAACAGCCTATCCCCAAAGCCCCATACCCAACATCAACAATCCCAAGCTCTGAACCGTAAGGCCGAGACTCTGAGCCACAAACCATGAACCCTGAACCCTGAACCCTAAATCCTGAAGCCGAATATGTTTTTTTAAGTAAATAAATAAATAAACATATAAATATATGTATATAAATAAATAAATATATATATATATATATATAGAGAGAGAGATGGAAGTCTCGTGGGAATATTGCCCGAAACCCCCTTCTATTTCTTTTGGCACTCGCACCATGCACCCTGTAAAACCCTGTTGATCCTCTAAAGAAACCGCATTCACGTTTGTTCAGGCCCTATAACCCAGAGACTCCAATGTCCCTTAATTAAGGAACATGCCTTAAACTATAGTGGCCTCAATATTATAATTTAAGCTATACTCCTTAATTAAGGAGTATTCGGTTCTCTGGGAATAATAAAACCCCGAACAGGGGTGCTCAGCTCTGGAATTCTCCGCAGTGCCCGATACGCCGTGGCCTCAACGGTGTGTTTTTGTTGAGCTTCCGTTTCTGCGGGTGTTGTTTGTTACATCTTGTGTAGGGTTTGTGTGGGTTTGGGGCTTTGGGGTTTCAGGATGCAGTCCCGGTAGACGGCGTGCTTGAGGCCAGGTTGGCCGTTGGAGTTAGCTTTGAGTTGCAGTGGTTTTGGAGTAGTAGTGCCTTGATCGTAGGGGAGAAGCTCAGATGTGAAGATTTTTGAGTTGCCCGAGTTGTTCTTCTTCACATTGTCGAAGTTTCCCTAAACCCTAAACCCTAAGTAGCATCGGCATGTCCCCGGAAGAGTGGAAACGGGAGTCCGAAGATTGGAGGGTTGAGGGTTTGGGGTGATAGCTCTTCGCTAGGAGTGCAGCAATTTCGGGGAACCTCGACTGATTCGAAAGGAGAGAAACCTAGGTCCTTGGGTAATTTTAGATTTTCCCTTTTTGGGGCTTCAGAGGATCTTCCTAAACCCTAAACCCTAAACCCTAAACCCTAAACCCTAAACCCTAAACCCTAAACCCTAAACAGGGGCTTTCAAGGGCCAACCTAGACCCTAAGCCCTGAAGTGACGTTTCTTTGAGGGTTGAGGGTTTAGGGTTTAGGGTTTAGGGTTTAGGGTTTAGGGTCTTGCACGAGATTTTGTCTGCTCCCTGGCAGAGCACTGGCCTGTTTTGGGGGTTTCTGAAACTTAGGTGACTTGCTTTTGGGGATTGTCCCAGAAAGGGCCCTAGATTTTGTGGGTAGGAAATGGAGTCTGTTGTTTTCTGAATTCTGAATTGCCATATCCTGTGAAGAAATTAACTTGGGCACTTCTGCCGACACAGGTGAAGTCAAACCGTAAGCTCTGCACAATGTGAAGCCCAGCGAGATCCCTCGTCTCTCGACTGTTTAGGGTTTAGGGTTTAGGGTTTAGGGCTCAGAACAGAACCCAAACCAGCTACTCAGCAACTGGTGGCAGTCTTGCTAGCAAAGCCAGAGAAAGGCATGGCTAGTGACCGGATCTTTGTGAATGCTCGATGGTGCAACTGGCCGATCCAAGCCGCGCCCCAAACCCTTTTTTTGCGCCAGGCCTTGCAAAAAGTTGCGAAGCGATTGGGATGAGATGTCGGCGGTTTAAGAGTTTAGGACGCATGACTGTGCTGTGGAAAGAAAAACGCTGCAGGCTTCAGCACGATTAAGCCCTTAAGTCCGCGTGTTCGGTGATCCCTCTCAACCCAGAAAGCCCTGCAGCTCTGAATCACGAAACCTGATCTCGCAGCCTACTTAAGATAGGGGTGCGAATCTTCAGTAGCAAGATTCCCTTGACAACTACGCTAAAGTAGACCTGTTCGAAACATCCAGGATGTGTCTCTCTATATGTATACATACATACATATATATATATATATAACCCCTAAAGGCCCAAACCTTAAAGACCCAAAGCCCCAAGTGCATCCTAATCCCTAAGCCCGGCCCTTCACTCCTTTTTGCCCTGATGTGCCCAATTCGAGTGCTTAAACTAAGTCCAAAGCCTTCCTAAACCCTAAACCATAAAAACCCTAAATCCTCAACCTTAAACCCTAAACCCTGAGCTCTAAACCCTAAACCTCAAACCCTGAACCTTGAACCCTAAACCCTAAATCCGAAGCCTCGAAGGATCCCCGGTTGTTGATGCCTTTCGAAGGCTTTTTGGTCTTGGACTTCTGGTACTTTAAGCAGTGCATTCATAGGGATTCTACCAGGGATCTACATGGGGGCTTCATAGCTTTGCACAGCGGTTTCCAGAAAGTTTCTGTAGGTGTTTGTATGGAGGTTACGGAACGGCCTTTATGGCTTCAGGCTTTAACGAAAGTGTTGGGTGGCTTTCGGTCTCGGGGTTGGTCTCGAAGTTTGAATCTACGACCTCATCCATTGCGAGTGCTTCATAGTCTTCTCTTCCCAACCGTAAGCCATCACACCCAAAGTCCTTAAAGCTGTAACCTAGATCGAACATTAGCAGAAGGGGGTTTTATAGAAACCTTTTTCAAGCCCTAAACCCTCAGAGCCTCAAAGCCGTAAGCTAGACCCAACGTGGCCTCAGGCGTTAATCATAGGACCGACAATAGTAAGTGGAATCCGGTCTCGGGGTGCATTTGAGTACAGTTTTAAAGGGCTAGAAGCAGGGGGTTTAGGGTTTAGGGCTTTGGGTTTAGGGTTTAGGGTGTAGCGTTTAGGGTTATAATTATAACTACTACTGAGTATTCCGACCCATGCGTTCAACTTCATAAAAGCTTTTACAAACCCCTTGTAACTCAACCCTACATGGAACCACCAAAACGTGAAATGTGGGTGTGTGTGCAGTCCGCAGCCGCATTTGCCCGGGAGGGTCGTTTCCGCACGATTCTGGACTCGCAAGTCATCATGAGCGCAGTGTCCACCCGCTCGGTGAAAGGCTGCATGGAAAGGGCGATGCAAGCCTCTTGGTTGAATGGTCTTGGGTTTAGGGTTGAATGTCACAGTCACATTAAACCCGAATCATGCCCTAAAGTTGCTGCTCTAGGGAACCCTAAACCCTAAACCGTGGTTTAGGATGCCGCGACCCGAAGAATCATTAGGCAAGCTCGGCTAGAGCTGGCTAAACGAAGCCCTGCCAGGTGCTCTAGCACTGAGCCCAAACCCCAGGCCCCAAGCCGGAATCCATCCCACAGTTGGTGAAATCTCTCAAGAACAGAACTCCAGAACCGGCGACGGCTTTCAAAGCAAACATGCCGCTTTCAACATCAAACCCGTAGAAAGCCCTTCTTAAACCCGTCGTAGAACTGTATGGTTCCTTGGGTTCGCTGGGTTCTCCTGGGAAACCTGGATCCAGCCCTTCCTTGTCCCTGGCCGTTAGGAAGGCTTCCATGTGGGGTTACGCTTTCGGGTTTCATGTCGTGGGGTTTGTGGCATGGGTCTTGCGGCTTGGAGTTTCAGCCTAAGGGTTAAGGGTCTACTTGAAGGACTTGGAAACTACGGTTGTAAACATGGTAGCTTGAGTAATGATTACTTCTAGCCCCCAATGCAAGAACTTGTAGTTTGACTTCCTAAGCCGAACCCCGAAACCGGAAACCCTAAACCCTAAACCCTAAACTTACTAACAAGACCGATGATCCTCCAAGACGGGTTGGGTGTTTCGGAGGTGGGTTTAGGGTTCAGGTCTCGGGGTCTGCGGCATGGGAATCGCTATAGAAGCGTAACTCATTACCTATACTGTTTTGGGGGTTCCTTAGTATAATTATACTATAAGGACCCCAAACCCTGATCCAATTATTAAGGCCCCTACATTAGGGTTTAGAAGGCTTGGGGTTTAGGGCTTGGGGTTTACTGCAGGGTTTTGGGTTTTGGGTTGGCGGTTTAGGGTTTCGGGGCTGGCAGAAATAGGGGTTCCCTTTCACGCAGCTGTTTTCATCGTAGTTTTGTGACGGGAACCCGAAGAGACTTTGTGTTTGATCAGCCCTGAGGTGTGTTTCGTCGCAATTTGCCTGTGGCCTTCTGCAATTTGCAATGTATTGCGGTTTACATACCCTAAACCCTAAACCCTAAACCCTAAACCCTAAACCCTTACATCTTGTGTTTCTTCTAAACCCTAGGAAGCTCCATGCCGCACAGGGCGTTCACGGAAATCTGGGAAGCATCGTTCTTGCAACTGTTATACTATTTGGCATAGGGGCCGAAATAATTACCCTTATTATTCTTTAGGGTTCCTTATTATATTTATGGTTTAATGTACGCCAAAGCCCTGTTCTAATTATTAAGGCCCGTACAGTATTCTAAAGTAGAGCTTCCTTGTTCCTCGGCATTTGTCGCGACATGCTTTGAGTGCTGTTCTTAAGTTTGTCATGATAAGTTTTCTCCTTATTTTGTCGTGGCTATCAAGGGTCGTGTGGTGATGGCCACTACTCGTGCATTGCCTGTAACTATCAAGGGTCGTGTGGTGATGGCCACTACTCGTGCGTTGCCTGTAACTTCCAGAAATTTCTATGCGTTCCTTCGACATCGTCGTCGTGGTGAGGACGGATATTCTGAACTGCTGTTGACCTGAACCACCATCACCAGAAGCGCCACCAGCAGCAGCTGGTTGAAAACACCCAACCAAGACCAGCATCGTAACCCGAAGCCCTACCCAACCCTAACCCTAAAGCCCTAAGCCCTAAAACCCTAAACCCTAAACCCTAATCCTCACAGGGTAGAACCGGGTAGAAGGAAAGAAGGCAGGACCTTTTCGAAGCTCCAGGCCGCCTACCGACAGAAGCCAAAGCCCTGGCAAGAGGACGCCATCTGCAAAACGGCCGCTCGGAAGAACATAGGGTTTAGGGTATAGGGTGTAGGGTTTAGGGTTCAGGGTTTAGGGTGTAGGGTTTAGTAGTATACCCCGAAACCCTAATTATTTTAATTATTAAGGCTCCTATATTACCAAGGTGCCTCGCATATGTAACTTGAACACGTGTTTATACTTACATTGCCCCGTTCTAGTCAGAAAGGCCGCTATATAAAGTAGGCATACGTAATATGTAATAGTCTATTGCCCTCCTCAGACCTCGAACTCTAAACCCTAAGCCCTCAACCCCAAACCTCCCTAAACCCTAAACCTTTACCCCATCCTACCAAATTTCGGGCAACGAAGCCTCGGGTGAGTTGGGTATCTGGGCTCTGGAAGTCTCGGGGGCTTAGAGTTTAGGGTTCAGGTTTTTAGGTTTAGTTTAGGCTTGGAGGTTTTGTTGAGGGTTTAAGAATTTAGGGTTAAGCTTTAGTTTAGGGTGAAGAGTTTAGGGTTTAGGGAGGTTTGAGGTTCAAGGAGGCTTAAGGTTTCCGTACTCTGGGGTTCGAGGCAGATATGTTCCTCCAGCCACGAAGCCTCCCCCTCGCTTGCCCGCTCTACACGCTTGAACTAAGTTAAACCCGCCGAAAACCTAAGCTCAGCCGCTCCTGGCGCTTCGACGGTTAGGAAAGCGAAGCTTAACAGAATAACACCTAACCCAACAACAAGTTTTACCACCAGCTGAACCCTGAATCCTAAACCCCAAATCCAAAACCCGTTCCCCAAACCCCAAATCCTAAATCCCCAATCCTAAACCCCGAACCCAAAACCCTATTTCCAAACCCTTACTCCCAGGTGGCCGCCTGGGAGGAGCGCCAAGTTTTTCTCTTCGACCATCCGCGGGGCTCTGGGAAGACGAAAGAGATGGCTTGTTCCTTGGATCGGGTCTTGAAGATTTTCCTGGGCTTAGGGTTATGGGCTCTAGGGTTTAGAGGGTCCGAGGTTTCTTGGATTCCTAAGGTTGGCTCTATTCTAGGGCCTTGGTAAGGTTGGCCTGGGCCCTTGGTCTTCTGGCTCTCTGGTCCCCTGCATCCCTGCCCACAAGAGCTTCATGCAAAACAAGAGCAAATGCTGTATTATAGGGTTTTGTAACTTGGTAGGGTTGGCCTAGGCCCCTGGCCCACCTCGCCTTAGCAAATGGTGCAATTTAAAGTGTTTGCAATCAAAACAGAGAGCCAACGTTTAGAATCCCGCCAGCGGTAGGAATCCAAAAACCCCCTCCTCCGGGATTAGGGCTTTAAGGTGCAGGGGTATAGTTTTTGGGATCCTCATCGCTGAACTTGGGACTGAAGACTTTTTTTATTGGAGGGTCAGAGCACCTATCAGTAGGTAGTAGGGCTTCTACAGATCCTTATTCTTGTCATCATGTAGTCTCAAGAACTTGTAACTAGTATTGGTGGTACAGGATGTCCTCGGTTTCAAGGCATGTCATGGAGGAAGGCGTTCTTTTAAAGGAGGTTTTCTGTTTTGGGTGCTTTCTTTTTGTCTAAGGATGGTCGGACAAGTTGGGCTTCCGCAGGGCAAAATATAGAGGTCGAAAAATTATTGGTAATATTATTCTTTCTTGTAGGGATCCTTATGACAGCGATAACATGATGTATTATTCACGCCCATACATGAGCTGCTTGGGCTAAGGTTTGGTGCAGCATGTTTTCTGTTTCGGGCTCTTGCAGGTTCAGATTCTTCGGTTGCACATAGGGTCCTGGTGTGAGGGTTTATGGGGGGCCTCATATCAAGGATGTTGGGGGTTTAGGGTTGAGGGCTGCGGGCATGAAAGGTTGCCGGT